GTTTGGATTGGTAATTGGATTTACTGAACTCTTACAGATCCGTGACTACAGGTAATTATAACGTTTCACAAATTCACACACTTTACAGTTCACTACAGCACACAGCCTTCTGGTAGCGGCTTCGAACGGCGGACATTCCGCTTCCACTGGGTTCCCGAACTGTCCCCAGTGCCCTCTCACTGACTTTCCTGCTTATAACATCTCGGCACGGATCGCACATGAAACGCCGTTCCTATGTTGCTGTTTACGGGCGTTTCCCAGTAACGGTCATTGTCTAGTTTGTTTCACGGTCTTTAAGAGCGACGGCTCTACATACAACAGTGTAATAGTCTACTTTGTACTCACGCTCCAGGGTCATATTGTAATAGAGCATTGCATTAAAAGAATAAGAATAGAATTTTGATTTAAACATAGATTTAACAGAATAAAAGATTTTTTGGGCATTTTTCTTAATTGCTGTAATTTGATAAAACAAAACGATCGGCTTCCTGTACATTTACCTGTAACGGGCGAGAATAAAATACTTAGTGGTACTTGATTTTAGTGACTATAGACGGGTTTTTTATTAGTAATCGAATTTATTGAACATTTTACCACACAACTCGTTACTACGCTTTACAAATTACTGTCACAGACTAGTAATGTACTCAGTCTGTTACAGTCTTCACTAGCCGTTACTCGGTAGCGGCTTCCAACGGCGGACGTTCCCCTTCATCTGTGTTCCCGAACTGTCTACGTCCTCAGGTACCAGCTTCTCACAGCAAGAGCTCACAACGGACTGCGTAGAGAACACCGTTTTGTTGCATTGGAATTGTTGCATTCGTCTGTTGGCGAAGCCGTCACCTAGCAACGGGTTTACATGCCACAATATTTTAATTAAGTATGTATATACAGCTAGTTTTTGGAAAGAGACTATCCAGGAAAAGTGATAATGTGGTAGTTTTTCCATTTGCTTTCCACATCGCAGTACAACAGCCATTCAAACCACTCTGGTCACGCCTGTTGCTATACGAACTTGAACCATCTCGAGCATCATTTGCTCTGTGCTTCAAGTCGCTGCTGATGACGCTGCTTCCGGCATCAGTTTTTGGTGTCTCTCTTCGTCTGATGCCTACCCTTTGACCTGTCCAGCAAGGGAGGCCCTGCCAGTAGCTACNAGGAATTGTTTTGAAAGAGACTGTGGACCTGTCGTCTTGACAGATTACTGATGATGATGATGATGATACAGCTAGACCTATAAATTCAAGGGGGGAGGGGTCTCCTTTCAGTTATCGAGCTCAAGATATTTCTGTGATCTTTGGTGCGTTCAGGAAGCAATGTTTGATTGTTTAATAACCGGGTTTGTAAACGTTTGTAGAGTATCACGTTTTAATTGAAACAGCGACTGTTTGAGTTGTTTCATGAATGTAGACTTACGGATTGAGGCGCTTCGCAGGGTTGCCATTGCGCCTGAACAGTGTGGACAGAGCAAACAATTAGACCAACCGAACTGTACGAAAAGTACCAAAAAATAAGTGAAAAGTATCTCGGCAAGCAGCTTCAGGGCGACTCCGTATTGTAGACACTAACGGACTGATTCTTATAGCTCAGGCCGGATTCTCACCGCGACGGCCTGGGTTTGATCCCAAATAATATCACGTGGAATTTATGGTGGACCTAGTAGCACTATGGCATATTATTCTCCGAGAACTTCGGGTTTCCTCTGCCGATTTTCATTCCACCAACTTCTCGACATGCCAATCAGAGTGGCCGCGCTTTCTAAGGCATGAATTTCCTTCGCTCGGTCTAACACTGGGATCGTGGGTTCGAATCTCACTTAAGGTATGGAAGTTTGTCTCATTTATTGTATTTGTGACGTTCTGTGTATAGGTAAAGGCCTTGCGACGGGTTTGACCCCCCATCCAAGTAGTCCTACCGACTGTATAGGATTAAGAAACTGAAAAGTAGCCAAGGCCCAACAAAGGGCTGTAGAGCCATTAATAATTAAATAAAATAAATTACTCCCCAGTAATTGATAATTTTGTCATCGACGTTAAATTCCTACGAATATTACTGTCTCCATGGAGGTGAGTCCTTGAGTGTTTCCCAGTAACTGGGCTCTGTGGTGCAGGGCACTCCTTAAGGGGGTGATACGTATAGTTTGTCTAAAACACCTTTGAAAGTACGTCATACCTAAGGCAGGCAGGCAGTTTTACGGAGGAAGACGCCCCTGTGTTCAACGAGATCACCGGTATGGCGATTTTGCTTGTCACATTTATTGGTGACTATAGACGCATCGCTTTGTATGGGGATGAAACTTGGACACTTAGGGCAGTAGATCAGAAACACCTGGAAAGCTTCGAAATGTGGTGTTGGAGAAGGATGGAGAAGATCAGTTGGACCGATTATGAAAGAAATGAAGAAGTGTTAGTTAGAGTCAGTGAACAGATGAATATCCTACACGAAATAAGAAAACGGAAGGCTAATTGGATTGGTCATATCTTATGCGGTAACTGCCTTCTTTAAGAAGTTATTGAAGGAAAGATAGAGGGGCGGATAGAAGTGACCAGAAGACGTAAGAAGATTCTGAATGACCTTGAGGACAGAAGAGGATATTTTCATTTGAAGGAGAAAGCTCCAGATCACATCAAGTGGAGGAACTGTTTTGGAAGAGACTGTGGACCTGTCGTCTTGACAGATTACAGATGAATGAATGAAGACGGGGTTTTGGATTGGATGATTGGATTTATGTACACCTTATACACAGCACTCGGAACTGCACCCAATTACAGTTCTATTGCTGATCTACACACTTCACAGTTCACCGTTACACATACACCAGGGTTCTCAGTCTTCACTAGTCGTATCCTGGCAACGGATTTATAACAGTCTCACTGTAATTTCAAATGACACATGAAGTCTTCTTTTCTTAGCATAATTCCTTTCTTGTCATTAATCTGCAACTGCCAGTTCCGAAGACTCGGCCCAGTTCAATTCTTCTGCTCCCAAGCTCATACCGTGGCTGGCTGGCTGGCGTCCCGAAACCCCACTGAATTCCTCTCAACCGAACTCATCTTTATAATCACTTTGCACGGACCACACAGAAAGCAGTCTCTTTTTTGTTAGGAAAGCTTGTTTACAGCTCCGTTGCGAAGCAACGGAATTTACTCGAGTGTTACTTGCGTATTCGTTGCCGCGGGATTGTCTTTACCGAATCGTTGCCTAGAAATGAACGTCCCTTCTGAATTCACTATTCCGGCTTCCTTGCGTCATGTCACAGTATGTTTAAAATAGAATACAGTGACTTCCTAGTATGACGTAACAGTCTGTCTGATGTTTACTCGTGCTCGTGTGACTCGCTATGCTCGCAAGTAATGTGGAAGATATGACAAGTCACGAGACAAGCAAATTTTAAATTTTTAATTTAAAAGCTATAGCCAATAAATTAAAATACTACTACAGCTTATACACACTACGAGTAAATATACAGATCCTCACGCGCCGAAGCCTGGCGAGCAACTGAAGTAGTGTGGACGAAGATTTACGGGCACAAGTAAAAGCCATACTAGCACGAGCACGAGTAATGTGGACGCGCCTTAACACTGTACATTTACTACCGGATATTTAATAAACAAATCCACGAGTAAAAACGAAGAATATACTTTCATATTTCATGTAAGCCGTGACCTCAGTGCCTGTTGCACACATTAAAGTTGAAGTCACTGTGCTTGACTGCTGATTAACCACCACGCTATGAAGACGCATGGGGGAGTGGATGTATTGACCTCAGCATTAGTTGAAGGTGAGTGATCAGCTTCACGCATCTTCCGCTTCATCCCCTGGGAAAGAGCCCCCGGTACTCATTGGACGGGCCCCAGAACCGGTTTGGATGACGTGGAGAGGAGAAAAATCATGCCCATGTCGGTACTCAAACTCAGATTCCTCGAGCGTGCAGCCCATAGCCCGTTATGCCGACTGCGCTATACGGGCTCTTCCTGTTGCACATTGTGGATGAAACTCGAGCAGGAGAGTGGAAACTGTTGACACGAATCATGTGTCCGTTATCACTCAGGCAGATAACTGAAACAACTCCAACTTTTTGTTAATGATGAATGCTGTGTGGACCAGTTCCTTCGCCCGGACCCAACTCATTTGGGTTGGCAAGACCCGGCCATCAATCCCGTTCTTGTCGGGATTCTGTTCTCATGTGTAAAGCGGTTGAAGCGCGAAGCTAACCACTCACCTCCATGTAGTGCCGAGATTTTGAATACTTGGAGTTTTGTCTCCATTCTCCTATACACCTTCATGGGGATGTATTTAGGAGCAGGGACACCTTACCTTTTGGCTAGACCATTAATTTGTTTTTATTCATAGGGCGGGGTGAGCATTTGGTAGAATGATAATTGGCAGGGGAAACCGAGCGCTGATTGTCCGAATTACCGCAATCGTGGAATACGTATGTTAAACATCATTCTTGGACTTTTTTCATATAAAGTGTTTGAAAGTATTAATTTATAATTACATTTATTAATTATTCAAGTTTCTCCTGTTTTCAGAGTATATTCTTTTAGTTTTTATTATAATATGTAATACTACAGGACATTTTAATATTGTTGTAATAGTGTTTTCTTCTTCTTGGATAAGAATATAATTTACCGAATTTTCAATTATCTGAACCACATTTGTCACTAATTAATTCGAATAATCGTCGTTTTACCGCACTCGAAGGAAACGTGCGTCACTTCCACTTCGTACATCACAAATGGGATCGATCCCGGTTCGCCGCGATGAGATTCCGGCGACTAGCAGCCCGAACTATGGCAACGGCGGTGATTAGGCACTAGTAGTAATCAGCAAGATGTCGAAAGAAAGTAATCCCGTTGCGAAAGTATGCCTGGGAGGGAGACTAGACAGCTTATGCACCCGTCGGCCGCGTACTTTGACGTAACACGTAGTCGGTCGCGTATCATTTATATGCAGAGATAACGTCGCGGAGTATTCAATGTTTTCTCAGGCTCGGCTCTAGCAGGCTGCAACTCTCACAGCAGTTCAGTAGGTTTAAATACTTAGAACTCTGTTGCGTGAAATCGCCAGAATTGTATCACTACGCCAGTAAGGAGAACTCTTGTTACTTGGAAACATCAATATTGTGTTGGCAGGCCTGTAGGGAGTTTGTTTTTGGAAATATTTTGTATCGGTTTGGATATAATTTTGTGGCTTCGTAGTGTTCGTGGGTTAAGACGCGCAAAATGGCATCTAAGTCGAAAGCTTGTAAGACTCTGCGGATGCTTATCAGAATGTTAGACCCGGTCCGTGAAGTTAGTTTTGGTCACGAGTGTCAGAGTGGATAGCGTGTAGCAGTTTGTTAATTTCAATGTTTCGGGACAGACGCGACAGGAGTCGTCGAGGGAGTGCGAAGAAGCATGAAGTTTCGCTGAAGAATATTCTTGTCAAGAGCGAAGTAGAAGTGGTCGCGCAGTGGCTACACGATGTGGATATTACTACGATCAGAACAGAGAATTCTGGAAGGTAACTGAACTCACCCAGCCAGCGGGCTGTCCTTTATACTTTTTTGTTTTGTTTTACTTCGCTGTCAGTATGTAGACTATATAGGTGTCCCAGGAGGAAAGGTCAATATTGTGGGAGGTCATGGTGTCGGTCATTCTAATAANGTGTGAGGACATAGCGTGTTGCTCGTCTGTGCAGTGTACAGTGTATTGTACAGTGAAATAACTACATCTCGGAACCGTTCGGAATAGGACAAATGTATATACATAATTTTTTTTTCTTAGAATGACTGTTACTGTGACCTCCCAGAATACCGACCTTTCCTCCTGGAACACTCCTTATAACGTTGAATGTTAGGATGACTGGTGAATGGGGATTTGGAAGGAAGTGGTTATGGCCTATTCAAGGTACTGTTGCGACATTTTCCTGTAAGGACCGAAGAAGACCAACAAAAGATGTAAGAATATCCGTGTCCGCGCCGAGATTCGAACCGAGCACCTTCCAAATACGAGTCTAAGCGTGTTGCAAGTAGGTCAACCCGTTCGGTTCTAATAGTACCAAACATTCAGTGATTTTCGTCGCTGCTTCGCCATCACAGAAAGCTACGAGCTTGTGTGTGAGGCTGTGGCTAAGGAGATGTGACACTGTATTTTGGTGGAAGTTTACCACCGTTTCGGACGAACTTACTGCCTCCATCTTCAGAGAAGGAGGGCAAGCCGACCAAGTAAGCAGAGTATGATTCTGCTTTCGCGCCACTATTTTTCTTTCTAGATAGAACCAAGTAGGTTCCATGCTTTTACCTGATAACTGGAGCAAAAATAGCTTCCGAAACGTTGTGTTCTTAACCCAAAAGATGGAAGATATTCAGTTTAAAGAGATCTGTTGCAGTCCGCCATCAGCTGGCAGCAGACTCTGCAGTCGCCCTATCCTTGTGTCCCCACCGTATTAGCTTTTTCTGAGTAAACATTTTTAATTGTGTTCAAGTTCAGAGCAAGTACAAGGCCGTTTGGAATGAGCACAGTAAACATCAGGCGGTCTGCCATTCAGACCGGCGGCGTCCATTAAATCGGTTCTCACGACGCCACACATGAATCTTGTCACGTTTCGCCAGGAAGAATGTGACCAGCGAATTCATTTCTTGCTGCCAGTCTCAGGAGCAGTAACAGTTGTTTACGATAACGTAGGGTTATGCATATCTCCGCGGCTTTATCATTGGTGCTGTGGTTATATGCTTATTTATTTCCATTGATGATTGTAATGTGCGCGTCTCTTAGAAAAAACAAACATTTTCACAGCCGTTGCCTGTGTTGACACAATACATACTCTTGGGTGTCGTCATTTTAGCCCAATTTCCTTATTTTGAAAATCGAAAGTAGGCTTATAACATCACCTCCCTGCCTGTGTATCTGCGAACCCCCCCCCCCATTACCTTTCGAATACCTGAACCAATCTTCATGAAACTTGAATACATCAGGGCACCTCATCCCGTGTCAATGGCGTACTTCACGGATCCCTCACATCAGTCTGTGTTGTCTCTGTGTGTGTATTCCTCCCATCGTTGCTAGGCAATGGCTCGGTATCACGTTCCCGGGACAAAGAGTACACGCAAGAATGGAAGAAATGTTGTTCGCGTCGTTTTCTGTACAGTACGTGTCGTGCCAGTGGGTCTGTGTATTCCCCTATCGTTGCTAGGCAACGGCTCTTTAAATAATTTCCCGCGGCAACGAGCCTTTGGATGCGCCGTTTTCTGTGCGGTCCATGTAGTATCAAAGGAAAGTAGGCGATTAGTTCTTCCCAGAACTTCTTGTAACTTTCTCATATTCATAATGTAAGATAGTATTGTGATCGTGAAAAAATCGATCTTGAGATTGTGACGGATATAGACTTTTCAGCCATCGTCGCCTGAACGATTTGGCGGATTTTATTCATAATCGGTATTTAAGAGTTTATCTACGAGGAAGACTCAGTAAATACGTCACAAATGGATATAAAATGTAAAACATGTGATATTAGGACCTGGGAAAAACATTTATTTCTCCACATATCCTCCACCAACATTGATACACATGTCCCATCGATTACCAGTGAGTCGAAACCCACAGCATGGAAGTCTTTTGACTGTTGCGTCAGGCACTTCTACACCTAGTCGGACATCATTTGGGACTTTCTGTCGTCTTTGAAAGAATTTCTCGACTCAATTGTGAACCGCTTTACGCGACTTCCCACCGTAAGCAGAAAACATTTCTTTGTGAATACCCTTTGCATTGAGTCCTTTTGCCCACAGAAAAACACACAACAGATCGCTGTTTTCAGTAGTATACTCGTCAAGCGCGGTCACCATTTTGACTACTGAAACCAGCCTCTGAACATGCGCATGCGCGTCTGCTACCTAGACTGTTATGAAGCTTAATTATGCTGCTACTTAGTGATACACGCAGAACACCTATTACCTCAATTACAGCTTTGTTACTTCCATTTGTTACCTATTTACTGACTCTCCTTCGATTCTTAGGTCGATGCCCAGTGAATGTGAAAGTTCCAGGACCCTTCACAACGCCCATGAAACGTAAAATGGGAATTTTTTTTAAAACGGCCTTAGCGATTTAAATTTGATTTCTATAATTTACGGAGATAATGCCCATAAGTTAGTTTCACATGTGATGTGTTCTGGGGTGTAACGGGGCGTCCTCTAGCGGTCCAAACGCCAGTGCGAGAAAGTATTTGCAATACCTAAGCTTCTTAGAACAAGTGGCCCATGTAAGATAACTTGGAACAGTACTTCCTGTGAATTAGGCAAACACGTACAATAAAAATGTTCGGAGCCATTCCTTGTAATAAATATAAACTGGAACTTGAGTAGTTTTCTGGTATCTGACGCAGTGTAGTCTGGTAGAAGTTTATCGGTGTTCCGGAGGAATGTATTGCCTCCATCTTCAGGGTCAAGCAGTAAGTCGAGCAGGCATCATAACACTTTTTTATTGCTTGTCCGCTCGGCTTACTCTTTCATCCTGAAGAAAGATGTCGTATTTTCTACCGAAGCGTCGGCAAACTCTTGCTAGACTACGGCGTCATAGCTCAGAAGCTTGTAGACCACCATGAGAACCTCAGATCTAAAAAATAGTAACATTGTGTGTACGCCGTGCGCTATTCCTCGGAAGACGCAAGTCGGTTTTTTTTCTTCTTTAAATTATATCAGAATCGAAGGAAACATTCCAGTTAAAAGTTACACTTATAATGATAAATGTATCATGTTGACACTTTTATTACGTGTTTTTATGCTTTAAATTCCATTTTTATTTCAGGATAAAGAAGGCCTGTGAACGCTGGAAGCGTTTATCTGCCCACATACTGTTTATGCTTGTTTGCATTAATCCTCTGACAGGATTCCTTTGAGATTGTTATTAGAGGGGTTTGATTACGTAATAGAGTAGGCAGATGTATCAAATCACTAGACCGACAAACTCCGATTAGCAGAACGCTGTATTATATCTTGCTTTTACAGTGGGAAGTATATGATGCGTGCGTGCGCATGTTAAGACTTTGAATTCAGGCAAGTGACATAAACTGGATACAAGGCATGCATGTGTCACGTCGTCATGACACGTAATAGAGTGACTATAGACGCGGTTTGGACTGGTAATCGGATTTATTGCACAATTACACAGCACATTACTATACTTTACGAATCACTGTGGGACACAGTAGGCCTTCTCAGTGTGTTAATGTTCGGCCACACAGAGCGCTACGTACGCTATGTTCGCTATACGAACAGAAAAATATCTCCCTTTATTGCCAGTGTGACTGGCCACACAGATTTCCGTACGCTACGTTACGCTATGTCCCCTATGTTAGCTGCGTCGCAGAGTGTACACAACGTACGTAGCGAACATAGCGTAGCGCTCTGTGTGGCCGAACCTTTACAGTCTTCACTTGCTGTGGTCGCTAACGCCTTGCAACGGCGGGGGTTCCCCTTGCCACCGGCCTCAGCTACCAGCTTGTAACAGCAACAGCTCACCATGACTGAAACTCAGCAGTTATATGTGCGTATATATACTATACACACACATACAGAAGTAATGCTGAGATGAAAGCTCTTAAATTGCCAAAATTTCTGTTTACGATAGTAAGGGATTATTAAGCGTCAGCCCGAAGAATGAACTAAAATTTTATAGCAGATCGCAAAGACGAACAGTAGTTTGTTTTGGTGTGTCTTCTTTATCCTGTGAGCTTTGATTGCAGGTTTATGTAGATACCGTATTTACGCGTGTATAGGCCGCAGCACAATTTTCAGACAGAAATTATAGAAAACAATAATTTTCTTGGAATATTATTTCAGGAGTAGAAATTATTCCGAAATATTCCGAATATAATTCTTTTAAATGAAGTGTGATTTCGAATATAAGCCGCACCCCAGTTTTCCTCTTGAATTTTTGGCAAAAAATGTGCGGCCTATACATGCGTAAATACGGTATATGAAGTTGTAGTATACTACGATATATAAAGGAGGCGGTATGCGGTTGACTATTTGTGCGTGTCGGTTGTGGAAGAAGATGGCGTTAAGCGATGACCACGGCGCATCATTCTTTGGCACGTAGGAGCGGGAAGGAATTAGGGAGAAAGTAGGGGAAGTTAATATTACGCAAGTTTATGTAAGAAGAGATGAGACTTCCCGTTTAATTCAGAATTGATTCTGCGTAGTCAAAGTCAAAATTACATTGCGACTGACGGTCAGTCAGTCAGTAATTCTTGGTGTCGAGCCCCATCTGGGGCTCATGACCAGATATTAATTGCTGTTTCACAGTTACAGTCTTGTTTTCGTGGGGCACCCTCTCTGACGAGAGGATGGGTTTGTATTTTGTATATGCTGCTGGTCCTTGCCAGCGCAGTTTTTTTTTGTGGGGGGGGGTCCAAGTTCGTTGGGATTCGTGACCGTATTTTACTGTCTCAGATTTGAGACTTCCCTTTTCGTCGCCTCCTACGACTCGCAGGGTCACGGTGGAGGTATTCGACCCCGCCTCCACACGGGTGGTCACAGTTACGAAGTTCAAGTCACATTGCGACCGACAGTCAGTCAGTCAGTCTTGGTGTCGAGCCCCGGCTGCGGCTCAGGACCAGATATTTATTAGTGTTTGGTATTTACGGTCTTGTATCTGTGGGGCGCCCTCTCTGACGAGAGGACGGGTCTGCCTTTTGTATATGCTGCTGGCCCTTGCCAGTGCAGTCTTTTCCCAGGTCTGAGTCTCTTGGGACTCGAGACCATATTTTACTGTGATTTGATATGCTAGTTTCTGTTTTGAGATCCGTTGCCAGGAGACGGCTGGCGAAGACTGGAAATCCTAGTGCGTGTGCAACGGTGATTGGAAAGTGCAAATCAGCGATAGCGCTCTATTAATTCCAATTAAGGGAGATTGTAATCGAAGTGCTAAAAGAATCCAATCATCCGATGTAGAACCTGTTATTTTCCTCAGGCGTACCATCCTATTCGTGACAATGTATATATAATCCAATTGTGTTGAACTTTTAAATTTTCACATGTCACAGATCCGCGCTCTGCCAGCATTATACGAGGGCTATTCGGGTAGTAACCTTCGGTGAGCTGTTAACAAAGCAAGCAGCGAGAAATTTATTGTATATAAAAAGTACGTACGTACTCAAGCTACTTCTTAATGTAGTCAACGCTGCAATTGAGGCACTTGTCTTTTCGGGGAAGGTTCGCTTATTACCGAAAACTAGTTAAAACACCATAAAGTCCAACAGGCTTATGTGGTTGAAGTCACGTGATAACAATTTAAAGTCACAACCACAACATGTCTTGAAATAAGTGCGGCCGGCGCGTAAGGCTGACAACCTTGCAACCATCCTTGAGCCGATTGCCTAGATCAGCCATGTCAAATTTGCGGCCCCCAGAGCCACAAAGTGCGGCCCCTCAACTTTTAGAGCTAACTGATATTAAAATAAATATTAAAATTTTGGTAGAAATATTTTTTGTAAAGACAATTTTCCAACAGGCCAGAAGACGAGAAGTCTCACGCAGACATAAATTGGCTGGCTGCAGGAAAAGTGATTCAGAGAATTGCAGAAGGGTTTGTCCAACTAACGGTTTGTAAAGTTCGTGAAGGACAAACTATTGTATTTCAGAAAGGTAATGCACTAAAATCCGCACAGCCTCACCACCCCAAGTATTTCCAAGAATCCCTTTTGGAGGTGTAGTAAGAATGGAAGGAGGGTGGAAACTGACAGACAAGTGCAAGGGATTTCTACCTTCAAAACTAGCTTGCAACCCCCAGCCATTATCTAATGGGCTGCTAGCAAACTTTCACTTTTATGACCATTGAGACAAGATACACCTTCCTACTAGTCCGGTAGTCTCTTGTACATTGTCATTCAGTTCATTTTCACACAGCGACAGGTGCTGATGTTACATTGTGATGAACGTATAAAGGTTATNTCAACATCTGACAACCCTATGTGCCTCCACGGCCTGTTACAGGGATATCTTTACTTTTTTTTACTTTTTTACATATCTAAATTCAGAAGACATAGATCCGGTTCCATTCAGCTGGAAGTTGATGGGTACACATCTAGTCCAGCCCAAAGCAGTTGCTGATGCTTTCGCTAAGCACTTTAAATCTGTTTATAATAACCACTGCTCTAAGGATTTTCTCCCATTCTCGAAATCTTCCGAATTTTTATCCCTTGCTCCCATTTCTTATGCGGATGTCTGCAAAGCCATCAAGAGACTAAGACCTTCCAAATCTGATGACCTTGACGATATTCCTGATTTTATCGTGAAAGATTGTTCAGGTATTTTTATTCCTATAATTAGGCATATATATAACTTGAGCCTGACGCATCAGTGTTTTCCTGCTCTGATGCTTATGTTAGCTGGTTTCGCAGTTACTTACCCAACAGACAATCCAGGGTTCGCGTTTCTGGCACTCTCTCCCTGCCTTTTCACGTAACGTCCGGGGTGCCGCAAGGCTCTGTTCTGGGGCCTTTTCTATTCATTGTATTTATAAATGACCAATGTGACTCCGTTAACTACTGTACATTTCTAATTTTTGCCGATGATATAAAAATTCTCCCTATTATTAACTCTCCTCATGATTGCCTCTTACTTCAATCTGACATTAATTCCGTAAGTGACTGGTGCACTGCTAACTCCATGAAACTTAATATTGCTAAAACGCGTGTTGTATCATACACCAGAAAAACAAATTTTCTGAGCTACGAGTATCAGCTTTGTCATGATATCATTACACGCACCAGCAGTATTAAGGACCTGGGTGTTTTCTTTGATTC